CTGTTAGATTTTCCTAGCAAAGCAGTGTTAATTTGGGACCTGCCAGAATTCCCAACGTTGGGCTATGCTACCTGGGATTTAATGGGAGTCAAACTTCAAAATATATAAAAGGCACCAGGATACTTAGTATTTCCCCAGTTAATGCAGCATCTTATGTTGGATATATTTGGCCCTTCAGTGTTCTGAGTAATTCTTAGTAATTTATATTTTTAGCTCTCCCGCTTTGAGGCAGAAATGACTGCATATCCCTCCAGGTTTCTCTTTTTACTAACTTGCAATAGTTTAGCTTCTGTGGGAGTAGTTTAATCCTTTGGCTTATTTCTGAATCTTCTGTTTCCCAACTGTTAGTCAGAAAGTCTGGGATGCCAATATACAAAATTTCAGAGCTCTCTTCGGGAAGCGCACTAATAATATTGATACACCCACAAATGAGTCAGCAGACAGACGGATAAAACTAAGGGGTTTTAAAGGGAAAGTGAGCCTGTTCTTGGCAGTCAAATGATAGCCAGGAAAAAATTCAAGGTATTTAATATTCTTTATCTTTTCTTTTTGCCATTTTTCCTTTGTCCCCATGTTGAACGGAAAAAAATTCAGCATCACATCTCCTTCTTGAAGTTTTGTTTTTTTTTTAAAAAAAACCACCAATTGAATTTCTAGTTAGAGATAGTGGTCAACTTGCAACAGTTCATCTAGCAACCATTCAAAATTACAACGGCAGTGGGGGGAAAAATGACTTATGACCATTTTTCACACTTATAACCGTTATGGCATCCTCATGGTTACGTGATCAAAATTCGGACACTTGACAACTAATTTATGACGGTTGCAGTATCCCGGGTTACATGCGATGACCTTTTGGGACCTTCTGATGAGCAAAGACAATAGGGGAAGTCAGATTCGCTTAACAACCGTGTTACTCACTTAACAACTACAGTGATTCGCTTAACAAATGTGGAAAAGAAAGTCGTAAAATGGGACAAAACTCACTTCACAAATTTCCCACTCAGTGACATAAATGTTGGGTTCAATTGCGGTCGTAAATCGAGGACGACCTGCGTGTGCTTACTGAAGCTCAACAGCCCGGCAAGAAGGAAACGCAAGAAAGTTGGTAACCCTAGGTGTATTTTTCCCAAGCTATTAGGACATGTTCCATTCTGCCCGCTATCCGAGCGATTTCATTTTGCTGCCAAAACCTCAGAAGGTTCTGTCAGGGGGTGCTGAGGGGCCGGTTTCTGGCCTGCGTGATTTACCAATTTGCAAACGTCTTCGATTGCCCGTCCCAGCTCATTCTAAGAACAGCTTTCTGCCTGGCTAAGCCCTTGATGGAGCCTCTGGGGAAAACATTCTCTTTTTCCCACCCTGCCTCCTGTGTGTATAAGAAAGCATCCTACCAAAACCGAAGAAGAAGAGCGGCTGGGGAGGGAACAAAGCTGAGAAGGGGAGGAAGGATAAGCTATTCTTGGTACCTTTATGAGAAAGCCTGGTGCAAGACACAACAAGTACATTCCTGCCTAACTCCGCCAGGCTCCCAGGGAACCGGTTGAGGCTGGGCTGGGTGGAAGCACAAATGATGCCTTTGTCCTCACGGGTCCCAAAAAGCAGGCGGTGCTTTGCTTTTCAGGGCCTCTGAGAGGGGAATCCCTTGGCCTTCAGACCCATGACCTCTTGCTCAAAAGACAAGACTGAGGCGTTGACCTTGTTTGGTGTGTAATTACCCATCGGTGAGCTGCTCTTTAAACCAGGGGTCTCCAACCTTGGCAACTTTAAGACTTGTGGACTTCAACTCCCTGGCTGAGGAACTCTGGGAGTTGAAGTCCACAAGTCTTAAAGTTGCCAAGGTTGGAGACCCCTGCTCTAAACAGCTTGGTGCTTGGACTCCCTACGTACAGGTGGTCCTTGACTTACAACCATAACTGACCCCCACATTTCTGTTGCTAAGTGAATGAATCTTGCTCCATTTTACCACTTTCCTTGCCACAGCTGATAAGCAAAACCCTGCGGTTGTGAAGTTAGTAACACGGTGTTTAAGCGAATCTGGCTTCCGCATTCTCTTCGCTTGTCAGAAAGTCACAAAAAGGTGATCACACGACCCCCGGGACACAGCAACGGTTTTAAATATGCGTCAGTTGCCAAGCGTCTGAATTTTGATCCCACGACCATTGAGATGCTGCAACAGTTATAAGTATGAAAAACGGTCATAAGTCACTTTTTTTTTCCTCAGTGCCGTTGTAACTTCGAACGGTCACTAAACGAACGGTTGTAAGTTGAGGACTTCCTATATTTCAAAGTCTGAAGAGATTTCTGCTCCCTTGGCAGGACAGTGAGCTGGGAATCCTTCCTTCAGGATGTCATGGATCACCAAACTGGTCAGGTTTTTTAGGCTGCCCCCCGAGGATTTCTCCTTGGCTTCCTGGCCTTTGTCTCAAGCATCCGAAGTCTGGCGAGGCCTGTTTTAAGAATGAAGCGAGGGGCCTGTTTTGCTCTCGTCTCCTCTATGGGAGATTCCTCCGTCTTTCACTCCTTTCAGACAGCCAACGCCGGGCCTGCGCCTGGAGCGGAGCAGACAGACTTTGTGTGCCGTGGAGCAGAAAGAATAGGCTGTGACATTCCCGTAGCTTAGAGACCGTTAGTCCCTTTCAGAGTCCCAGCTCCATTTGAATGTAGCTCAGCCTCCAGCTCTGCTTTGCCCTCATGGAGAGCGGCGGGTGGGAAGAGCCGGATTATTTTTACCCATCGGCAGTTGAGTTTGCATAGTAGAGTTCTCACGCTGCCCGGACAACGGGGAATTAGGACATTTCAGCCGGACAAGTGGAAAGTTCCTTATTGACGAAGGAAAGGGAAGAATCGCTTCGGCTCTTCTCTAAATCCTGGTGGCCAGAGGAGCAGATGAAACAACAGGTGAGAGGGCCCACACTGGCCTTCATGAAGTGAGTATGAGAAAACATCAGGGAGGAGAAGGCAGCCAGGATGGGGAGAAGGGCCACACTTCTCTGGCTGGGACCGTGGGGGTGGGCTTATTCCGCCCCATAGTGATTTTCCTCCTGCTCAATTTATTCCCAGGCTAGAAAAAAACCCAAAATATTTTAATGCTAAAGAGCATAGTGGTTGTTTGGGATGCTTATTTTGCAAAGTATGTGATGAGAATGGCATATTATCTAGAGCAGGATTTTTTTCTAATATTGTTACAGGGAGGTTCATATGGTGTTTGTGTGAGGAATACAGGCTGAGATCTGTGGCTCACACAGAAAGAAGGATGACTGATGTCTCTTTTTACCCATGCACCAACTCTCTAATAAGTTCTCACATTGTGTTTCCTTCTCATACCCCTTCCTTCTTTCCTTCCTTCCTCCCTCCCTCCCTCCCTCCCTCCCTCCCTCCTTCTCTTTCTCTCTCCTTCCTTCCTTTTTTCTCTCCTTCCTTCCTTTTTTCTCTCCTTCCTTCCGTCCACCCTCCCTCTCTATCTTTCTCTCTCCTTCCTTCCTTTTTTCTCTCCTTCCTTCCTTCCTTCCTTCCTTCCCTTACCTCCATCCATCTGGGCCCTTCTCTTTCCATCTGCCATCCCCTCCCAGATTTTTCCTTTGTCACATAAAATTTATGTTCATTTCTCTCCCTGAAAACGCAGGCAGGCAGACCAATATATTAATTGATAGGCACGTCTCTCTCTAAGAGAAGAGATTATCAGGAACTGAAATGAAGTTGCTCCAATTTCAGCTTCAGTTCAGTCTAAATAGATGCAAATTTTAATTTTTCTGAATGAGAAACACCCCCCCCCCAATATTCTTTGCTATTCTACTCATGGTTGCCTTGAAAATCGTACTGTGAGCTTTTTCCATGATGTGCTGCCTGTATGAGCTACTATCCGCCTCCCCACACCAAATAATACAGAGCAGAGGTGAAATCCAGCAGGTTCTAACAGGTTCTGGAGAACCAGTAGCGGAAATTTTGAGTAGTTCAGAGAACCGGCAAACCCCACCTCTAGCTGGCCCCAAAGTGGGGTGGGAATGGAGATTTTGCAATATCCTTTCCCCAGGAGGGGTAGGAATGGAGATTTTGCAGTATCATTTCCCTGGAGTGGGGTGGGAATGGAGATTTTGCTATATCCTTCCCCTGCCATGCCCACCAAGCCATGCCATGCCTACCAAGCCATGCCCACAGAACTGGTAGGGAAAAAATTTGGATTTCACCCCTGATATAGAATATAGGTAACTCAGAGTTAATCCCACCCTCCAATGTGAAGGACGAAGGAAGGAGAATTTTAGAAAACTCCTAGGAAAAAAAAAATCTCTCTTTTTTTTTAGAATTGGTTAAGCCCTGGCTAAGGATTTCAAACTGTAGACCAAAACTGAATTTTGCTTTGCAAAACTGAATTCTAATATTTACATTTTATTTCCTCCTATTTTCCCAAATGGCAAAAACTAAGAAGAAGATATCAAAAAACTAATAACAAGAGAAGTTTGCATCTTTCCTTCCATTTGGATGTTATGAAAAAAAGCTTATTTTGCTATCCTAGGTGCACGTAACTTGTGCATAAACTCCACTGAACAGATTGGATTTCATGATTAAACACGCTTTACTCAATTGCTGTTTTAATTTAATCAACACATCATATAGTAAACTTTTATATGCCTTCATAAAGTATAAATGGTGTGCTGTATTTCGTGCAGTTAAAGTTGTAAATAAACTTTTATTTAACAACAAAATAAATACATGTTTGTATATGTTTCTCTATAATTTTTGCTGGGAGAGGAAGATTTGACCCAAATATTCTAAATGTATTTAATTGTCTATTTATTAATTAACTTTATATGCTGCCCATCTCACTGTGAAGTGACTCTGTATGGCTTTAAAATGTCCTTAATTAGTTTAATTAATTAGTTATTAAGTAACTGAATTCCAGTTCTTCCACCATTATATAAGCCCCTGTCCCTACACATTTTTCTTAGATACGGCAGACAGAAAAAGTCAAGATTTTAATTTCTGCTTTTTTTTTTAACCTGCAGGTTGAAATGTTGAAATTTTCTGCCATGCCAATGGTACTGCTGTACTACTTGACTCTCTGGGGTAAGTGTTGATACAGAACCTGTCATTGGTCTGGGCTAAATCCTATAGGCATATATTTTGTGAATGAACAGTCTTGACATCTGTTTGCTGATTATGCCATAGGTCAGGGGTCTCCAAACTTGGCAGCTTTAAGACTTGTGGACTTCAACTCCCAGAATTCCTCACCCAGAATTCTGGGAAATGAAGTTCACAAGTCTTAAAGTTGCCAAGTTTGAAGACCTCTGGTTTAGACTCTTGACAATTTTCTTTTTCTGCATGAATTGCACTGGTTGCTAATCTGCTTCTGGGTACAATTCCAATCCAAAATGTTAGTTATCACCTTTAAATGCCTTGGGGCCAGGTTATCTGAAAGGCAACTGGTTCCCTATTACATCCACCTGACCCACCAGGATGGGAGGACAGGGTATGATACAGGTCCCATCGATTAGGGATTCTCACCTAGTGAGGCCATGAAAAAGGGCCTTCTCAGTAGTGGAATATCATTTTCCCCGCCACACCCCACACCTCCAATATATTGTTGGCTCCACCCTGTTGCTTTTCCAAAAGGCCCTAAAATCATGGTTTTCTCAGTCAGTCTGGGGACCATGAATGGAAATAGAGCTGATCAAGTAGCTGATTTGATTATGTTGTTGTTGCTATGGGGCGGTAGGGGTTGGGTTTTTATTATCCATTGCATTTGAAAATATTGTAAGCTGTCCAGAGTCACTCTGTGTGAATTGGGTGGCTATGTAAATTTGTCAAATAAAGAAAGAAAGGGAGGGAGGGAAGGAAGGAAAGAAGGTAGGAAGGCAGGCAGGCAGGCATGAGTCTAGTTCTATTTTCAGGAAAGTATTTTCTGGGGATGCAGTAAAAATTTCATTAGTAAATATACTCAGAATCATTGTTATAAATTGGAAGAATACGCTCTACAATGTTGAGTTCCACTCAGTTATGGGCCTCTGATTAGTTCTAGACAGTGGTGGGTTCTATTTACCTTTACTACTGGTTTGCAACGGGACCGCGTGCGCTTCTGTGCATGCGCAGAAGCTTCCTGATGACATTCGGGTCAGTGGGTGGAGCCTCCTGCCGGTTTTACTACCGGTCCTTGAGAACCAGTCCAAACCGAGGGCAATCCACCACTGGTTCTAGATCAGGGGTCTAAGCTGGCTGAGGAACTCTGGGAGTTGAAGTCCACAAGTCTTAAAGTTGCCAAGGTTGAAGACCTCTGTTCTAGAGTCTTGCATGCAGAAGACTGTAAATCCAGTCTAACCAATTTATCTAAATATCGGAAAGAGTCACTACCAGTATCAGTCAAAATAGATATGAAAAACTGATTTAGCTGATTGCGGCTCTTGCCGGTGTCATGCTGAATTTCAGATTTTGCTTAGGACGGATAGTCCCGTGCATTGAGATCTAAGAAGAACAAAAATTTTGTACCGATACAAAACATTGGGTGAATCATCTTCAAGCGCATGTATCTGATCAATACATTTCAATGATTATTCGTATGATTTTGCATCGTGTGTACTGTGTAATGAATTTGGTGCTATGCTTAAGGCGCCAGGCTAAAAACCGGAAGATGATGAATTCTAGTACTGCCTTAGACACAAAGCTAGCTGGGGGACACTCTCTTCTCCTAGGAAGAAGGAGGAGGAGGCAAGGGCAAACTTCCAAAATCTGACTCAGAGGCAAACAAATCAAAAACCCAACTCTGTTGCTGTGGTACATTTAAAAATATGTATGCATGTTTGTGCGGTTGTAAAAACAGACGCATACACGTATACCTAAGCCAGAGAGATAAAGATAGCTTAAGAAGAGGATTTTACTTTGTTCATCCAACTCTAGAAATCTCAGCGGAACAAAATCCCAGAGCTGGAAAGCAAGAAGGGTTTAAAAACAACAAAAAAAGACCTGTATGAAAAGATATACCCTTGATTATGCTTCCCAGGGATGGCAACATCTTGCTCCACAAAGTGGCTTGCCAAGGTTTCTATGTCGCCCGTAAGACAAAGCATTTTCTGTCTGGTTGTAACTCATATATCTCTGTCAGTTTCCAACACATTTCAGTCAGGCCATGCATGTAATGACACGCCTTGATCATCCTGTGCACCACTCATGCCCTGGAGGCCCATTACTAGTCCAACTAGGTCACAACAAGCATTGGTAGGAGTATGGCTCTGAGAACAGCTGGCACTGTGCCACATCTGTCCACAGCTGCAAAAGGAACTCTCAAATGCTGACAGTAGACTCCGGTGGGTCAGTCCTAAAATGTAGCGACAGCAATAGCGCTTAAGACTTATATACCGCTTTGTAGTGCTTTACAGTCATCTGGGTGGTTTACGAATGTCAGCACATTGCCCCCAGCAATCTAGTTCTTCATTTTACCAATCTCAGAAGCAGGGGTGAAATCCAGCAGGTTCTGACAGGTTCTGGAGAACTGGTAGCAGAAATTTTGAGTAATTCAGAGAACTGGCAAATACCACCTCCAGCTGGCCCCAGAGTGGGGTGGGAATGGAGATTTTGCAATATCCTTCCCCTGGTGCAGGGTGGGAATGGAGATTTTGCAGTATCCTTCCCCTGCCACACCCACCAAGTCACACCACACCCACCAAGCCATGCCCTCAGAATTGGTAGTAAAAAAAATTGGATTTTACCACTGCTCAGAAGGATGGAAGGCTGAGTCAACTTTGAGCCGGTCAGGATCGAACTTTCAGCAGTGGGCAGTTAACCTGCAATATGCATTCTAACCACTGCGCCACCAGGGCTCAGAGGAGATTGGGCCAAGATCTGCCTAAAAATTCTACCTGTCATCACTATGATGTGTCCAATATACTCTGCATATTGTTGGAACCACTTCCTTTTTTAAAAAAAAAAAAATCTTTTTGCCTAGGGTTTAAGGCAGGATTCTTGAGAACTCTGCTGATCATTCTCAAATATATGTCGATGTACAATGCTCCTTGATCAATTAATGATTCCCATGACTCATATTCCAATGCTTTTCTGAGAAAGTATGATGGGGTTATTCTGTAACAGCACCCGTCTTTCCCAGAGAGAAATAATCACAAATTGCTTTCAACAAGGAATCTTAACCTTCAGATATATAAAGTAAAATAACAAGGGAGCAATTGAATATGTAAAAAGTTTCCCTTCTGAATAATTGCAAGCCATTGAATATATCTAGAATGACAATGGTTTTTTTTTTATTGCCCTTCTGAAATTGACACTGACAGCAATTATTATTAGCTGGATTTTTATCTTCCAGAAGCTCAAGGCATTTTAATTTAGTGTCCCATCCTCCATCCAAATTCTGGACAGAGAGGACTACTGGTTTGAAAAAGAGGTAAAAGAGGCCATCTGTGTTAAAACTGAACAGCCCTTTCTCAACAGAGAGGGAGGGAAATGACACCACCTATCTCCTGTTTACAAGATAGTCATTTCAGCAGTTCCAAGAAGCTTCCACACCCATTTGCACTCTGATTCAGGTATCCCGAGGGCACAGATAATCCCACACAGGTCCTCAAGACTGTAAGAGAGGTAATGACCCCCTTTCAAAGTGCAAAGAACCAGATAACTGCAAGGAATATATATCCTTTCATTCCCCAGTATTCAGCCAGAACTGAGGATGCTTCTTCGATGAGTAGTGAAACACCTTCAAAAAAAAGCAAAGAAAATCCAATTGCCTTTTGAAAAAGCACCTTTGGGGACTATCAGATATATATTGATGGTCGTGCTCATTTGGTTCTATGAGGAAGTTATTTGGTCAATACAGCTTCAGGTTCAAAAGGTTGTTTTTATTATTTACAAATATATACATGCATACGATAATGAACAGGGTATCCTGTTATATTTTTACCCTAACTGTATGACTCAGATGTTGAGAGGAGAGAGAAGTTCACGTGTTGTCTCGCTGAGAGATAAAAAAGATAGAGAGAAAAGAAAGGGGAAGATATCCAAGTGGTTTCTAGGTAAGAGTCCAATAAGAGAGTTCATTGGCTGATATAGTCACATGTGATGTCTGTAAAGACTTAACCCCTTCTAGTCTCTGGTGCATCATATGCAGGCAATATCTGACAGGGACATCCACGACCTGGATGATTGAGAACCTCCATAGACATTCACACAACAATAATTCAATGAAGTAGGTTGAACAGAGAAATAGTAACTCAGGGAAAGGACCCTACAGACTTCCATGACTGAGTGCAGATTTAATTGGGATCTTCCTGATCCTAGCAGAACCCCTTAACATTACATTACACTTTCCCTTTGATGAAGTTTCTCCCCATTTATCTCAAGAAAAGGTTTGGCCGGATGCAAAAGAAACTTTGCCCCTGCTTGAGACCCATGGAAAGACATTCCTTAACAGGTGTGGCTTCCAAGCATTTTGACCTCCTACTTTCTTAGAAATAAACTCTCCCGAATGCCCAGGTGTGGCCCTTTGGAATGCGTTAGGTTTGTCTCTGGCTGGGCAGACACATTGTGTGAGTTAATGATTGGCAAAGATTTGGAGGTGGGAGGTTAGCTATTAATAAAAAATAAAAGCAGAAGGCAAAGAACAGGGTGAGTTATGAGGCCGAGTTGTAAATGGAGCACTAAACTCTAAATAGCTGGTGGAACGAGGCCCATGTGTATGGGCAACACTCCAACATCCCTGTGACCCACTTTCCTTGTACTAAATTCCCATGTGAAAATTCAAGCAGCGGTCACAATTCTGAGCAGTGGCTCAGAATTGACAGGATCCGAGGCAGGGTTGGGCCTCCTCTGCCAAGGCAGACATCCTTTCTGCCTGCGAGTCCCAATCTTGGAACACGTGACAGTCCCTTTTCAGGTCCTCTTAGTAAGCTGCAGAGTCACAAGAAGGGAAGGATTTGTTTTTTTTTTTCCTTGGTTCTAAAGAGTGAGTAAAGAAGAGACTACACGGAAGCTTGTTTTTATGTTTGGAGAGAGCAACATTCATATTTTCATTGTTGCAGATAGTTGAGCGGTGTGGTGGCCTAGTGGTGAAGATGCTTGCCTTCCATTTG